TAAGTATTACCGGTGACATTGTCCAATTAAGTTTGATCAAGGGTTCCGTAGCCATTCCTCTCCTCCTCCAACTGTCACCTGTTGACCTTGGTTCCAACGAGATGACCTTGGTTCCCATGAGAAAACTTTTTGTTTTGACTGCTAGCCACTCTATCTACTTCTCCCTCTCTCCCCTCCCCTCAAAGTTCGTGGCAACTATGAGGCAGCAAAAGGTGCCTTCAGACAGGTTCGCTTCAGAGTTGACACTCACCATTGAAGGAGAGTGGCGTGGCCAAACGCAACAAGGCAATGTCATTGCTGTTCTCCTCACTATTGGGGTCCACAAACGGCCTGTATCCACCATGGTACACAATGCTGGCCACGTCCATCTGTAGCCCCTTGATGGATTGCTGAGATACGGCACCCACGAATACCCGCCAGCGGTTCACCACGCGATTCCTCCTGCAAGGCAGACCCAAAAGGAGAAGGTTGGTCAGCAGGTGGGATCGGTGGGGACTTTGGATTTAGTGATCCCTTGGGAGCGAGGTGCATCTAACAGGTTTGATCAAATTTATTAAGGATCTAGCATCTGCATTCAATATCACAAGCTGAATTTGATTCGTTGTAACCTTGGTTGGGGCTGATATTTTTTTGACATGGCTTGTTAAAAAATCAATAGTACCAGTATTTTTCGGACTATAAGATGCACCTTTTTCCCTCAAAAAGAGGGTGAAAATCTGGATGCATCTTATACACTGAATACAATCTTTTTTCCTCCCGAAGCCCCGCCCCCTTCACCAAAATGGCTGTGCACAGCCTGTAGAAGGCTTTCAGAGAGCTCCTGGGGGCTGGGGAAGGCAGAACTGAGCTCTGGAATGAGCTGCCCCCAGAGCTTCGCATAATCCCTGACCTCCGGTCCTTCCGACGTGCCCTAAAAAGTTGGCTTTTCCAGCAAGCTGGCCTGGCCTGAACAAAGTAAAATAAATGATTGATTAAGTTGTTAATTTTAATCTAATTTTTAAAATGTTTTGTTAATATTAATTGGGTTTGTTTTTGGATACTTTATTTAATTTCCATTTTTTGTAATATGTGTTTTTTTTTTTTAATATTGTACGCCGCTCTGAGTCCTTTGGGAGAAGGGCGGCATATAAATCCAATAAACAAACAAACAAACAAACAGAAATGAGTGAAAAATGGTCTGGTTTTTGCTCACTTTTCCCCCTCCCAGTCCCCAGACGTACTCTATAAGCCTCCTAAAGGCTATGCATGCAATTTTTTTAATGGGCCCGTTTTTGTGAAAACCGAGCCATTTTTGCTTGTTTTGGGAGGGGCAACCCCCAGGAGCACTCTGCAAGCCCCCTGAAGGCTATTTGTGCCTTTTTTTTTTTTTTTGGAAAAAATGGGCCTGTTTTCACGAAAAAAGGGTTGTTTTTCGGAGGTTTGCAGAGTGCAAAAACTTTTTTTTTTAATTTGCCTCTTCAAAACCTTGGTGCTTCTTATACTCCGGAAAATACAGTACGTATCTGGATGTCATTTTGTACACATAACTAGCCCAGGACTTACTCTGGAAAGCAGTGAGCTGCTGTAACTACCCATTCGTTTGAGATGATGGCGCCGCCACAAAGATGTGTCCCATCGTAACGTAGGCTGACTTGCCATGGCCATTTCCCCAAACCAGCATCTTGACCACCTACAATCCGACCAACGGATAACTTCCTGCGTCCACAGTCTGCAAAGCATACAATAGTCAATACCTGTTCTGATGTAATCTTGCATCCCACAGAATTGTCAAGTTTACAATTTTTTATTCGTATATGATATAAAATAGAAAAGCAAATAGTAAGAAACAAAGGGGAGGGACAGGGAAAGAGAGAAGTGTAAAAAAAAAAAGTTAAAAAAAAAAAGGAGGATTGACTTCCGACTCCCTCTGGTGCAGAAGAGTAAGACAGTAATCAAACCTCAACTTTTTTCTTTTCCATAATAGTGTAAACTAGCCATTTCTATAACAACAAATATATCTAATCAGTAAGACCCAAAATCAAAGTTTCGTTTTTCCCCACCTCAAGCATAAAGTCCAGAAGTGGTTTCCAAGTAGAAACAAATGTTGTTTTCTTTGATCAAAACAGTCGGTTTAGCCATCTCTGCTAACTCCATCAACTTTTGTGCATCCCACATAATTCTCAAGTTTACAATTTTTTATTCGTATATGATATAAAATAGAAAAGCAAATAGTAAGAAGCAAAAGGGAGGGAAAGGGAAAGAGAGAAGGGTAAAAAAGGAAGGTTAAAAA